AAGGATTTGGGCTTCAAAGTATCTAACACCTTGGGTTCCTTTGGAGTACAGGTCTTGTTCAAGACAGTTTCTTTGCACAAGGCTAAATCTCCCTTCACATCCTTCACTTCATCACAAAGTGTAGTAAGCTCTGCCGTGAAATGATCTAGTTTGGTTTAGACATTCAGCTTGATTGTGTCTAGCATGGAGTTGAAGGCTCCTCAAAATTGGCCTCGAAGTTCTTCCACCACAATTTCGAAGCCTACCTTCATAAGGACATCCTCCTCCGCATACTTCATCTTTGAAAGCCGTTTCTCCATCCCACGATTCAAGTTGACCTTGGACATATTAACCTCCACATCAAATCCGCTATTCGAGGCAAAGAAGTCTACTAAGCAAGCCGACCCATCACCCAAGGAGGCATGTTAGAGAGGTGAAAATCTTAGTAGTAATAAATATGGAGGAAAGCATAAGGCACCATCCCAAGGTGGCGCATCAGCAGACAAAGCCTATACAAAGTTCACTATCCCGATACATCCAATCTTAGCCCAATTCAGAGATAAGCCCTGGCTGAGAAGACCTCCACCTTTGAAGGGAGTTCCCGACAAAAGAAGTACCAACAAGTACGGCGCTTTCCATGGAACACATGGGCATGACAAAGTCAATTGCCGATCTTGGAAGATGTACCTCGAAGAGCTCGTAAGAGAAGGCCACTGCATGAAGTTCGTGGCAAAGAAGGCCATCCAGCAGATTGAAGATCGTGACGACACAGAGGAAGATTAAATAAGCCACTGTGATCTCCCAAGTCTTAACCAACTACCCAACAATTGAAGACAATCTCATGATAAGCTTCCAAAAGAAAGATTTAAGTGGGCTTGATCTGCCACACAATGATGCCCTCATCATAAGCATCCAGATCCCACAAGCCATGATGGACCGAGTTCATGTTGACGAGGGCAGCGCAGCCAAAATCCTACAACTTTTGGTGGTCCAACAGATGGGAATGGATGCCAAGATCAACAGGTCGCCCAGGTCAATGACCGGATTCAACAGAGCAACGAAGATCACTGTGGGAATGGCAGGGCTCAACTTCTACTCCCCACCAGTGAACATCGCTCAAACATTCATGATCATCGACAAAGTCTACCCCTACAATGGCATCTTGGGCAGACCAGGGATTGACAAGATTAACGCCATCACATTCGCCACGCACTAAAAAATCAGCTACCCAATCACTGGTGGTGGTATTGGCCAGATCAACAATGATCAAGAGATGGGGAGAAAATGCTCCGCTCAAGGGCTGAAGAAAAGCAAGCAAGCAAGCGTAGTTCATCCCTACAAATCAAGCAAATCTGAAGGGAGCCAAATAAGAAAGAGAGGAAGCAAATCTCATTCCTGACAGTCGAGTAGACTAGAAGGAAAAGAGAATAGCCATTCCCCAATAGCAATTAAAGAATCAAGACCAAGATGAAGGAATCCACCCTAAAGAAGGATGGAAGCCCGAAGAGGACGTCAAACTAGTTCACCTTGACCCTAACAAGCCAAAGAGAAAAGAGCGCATTAGCTCGTGCCTAAGCCCAAAAGAGAAGGTGGACCTTACAACCTTCCTCTAGAACAAACAATAAAGATGTGTTCGCATGGTCGCCATCTAACATGCCAAACATCGATCCACAGATGATCTGCCATCGCCTTTATGTTAATCTCGCTAGCAAACCAGTAGCACAGAAGAGATGCAACATCATTCCCGAGCGAGTTGCCATCATCGAAGCCTAGATTAACAAGCTCTTAGCTGCTGATTTCATTGAAGTTGAAGAAGTCTCCTACTTAGAGTGGCTAGCCAATGTTGCTCTAGTGGCAAAGAAAACCCAAGGCAAGTGGAGAGTGTGCATGGACTACACCGACCTTAACAAGACAAGCACAAAAGACAACTTTCCCTTGCCAAGAATTGATCAGCTCATAGATTCATAATTGAAAAAGGTACATACTGCTACAAAGTCATGCCCTTTGGGTTGAAGAACGCTGAAGCAACATACCAGGGGCTCATGAACAAGATTTTCAAGGCGCATATCGGCAAGACTATGGAGGTCTACATAAATGACATGCTAGTCAAAGCTCCCCAACGAAATACCACATCAAAAATCTTGTTGAAGCATTCAGCTTGTTCTGAAACTACCACATGAAGTTGAACCCGAGCAAGTGCACATTTGTAGTTTCATCCAACCGATTTTTGGGATGCTTAGTCACCCAAAGAGGCATCGAAACACATCCAAATCAAATCAAGGCAATTCTCAACATCAAGTCATATGTGATAATGAAGGAGACACAAAGTCTAATGGGCAAAGCAACAACTCTCAAACGATTCCTTTCAAGATCCACTGACAAGTGCAGGCCGTTTTACAAAGCCTTGAAGAAAGGACAAAAAGACAAGTGGGATGCAGAGTGCAAAGTAGCTTTTCAAAACTTGAAGACCTACCTCACTTCACCTCTTCTGCTCTTAAAACCAGTACTAGGTAAAGATTTGTTCATCTAGCGTTAGAGGAGTACATGGAAAAAGACTCAAGGGTGATCCAGTACCTAGACAAAGTCTAAGAGCTTTTGAAGGCATTCCCTACCTTCACTAGCCAACAAATTCCCTGCCTAGCAGAAAACAAACATGCAAATGCATTGGAAAGTCTAGAATCAGTATTGGATACCCAGTTTAGACGTTCAATTCTTGTCGAGCACCTTGATCAGCCAAGCATCGAAGAAGCAGAGCCGCTAGACCTGTTGTAGATCGATGAGGATTCTAGTTGGCGAGACCCCCATCATCAACTACTTGGTAAACAAAAATTTGCCAACGAAGAAGTCTAAAGCCAGAAAAATCAAGCGGAAAATTGCAAGATAATACATTAAGGACAACAAGCTTGTGCGAAGGTCATATTCCGGTCTTCATCTCACTTGCATCAAGTATCCACAAACTATCGAAGTGCTTTACAAAATCCATGACAGTGAGTGTGGCAACCATTCTGGAGGCAGATCACTTGCTCATAAAGCTCTAAGCATACGCTACTTTTAGCCAATCATGAGACACGACTCCACGGAATATGTCAAAAGATGCAATCGATGCAAAATATACAAGCTGGTTCCTAGCCTGCCTACCGAAGTGTACCATCCATAGAATAGCCCATGCCCATTCATGCAATGGGCCATTGCCTTAGTGAGACTCATGTCACCAGCAACTGTCAAGAAAGACATGATAACCGTCGCCACATACTACTTTACTAAATGGATCGAGGTTGAAGCTCTATCCTTTTACTAAAGAAGCCGACATGGAGCGATTTGTCTAGAAGAACATTGTCTGCCAGTTCAACTGTCCACAGTCATTGGTCACTGACAATGGGTCACATTTCATTGGCAAGTAGATCACCGCATTCTTTGCAAAGTATGCCATCAAGCAGCACCTATCAACTCATAGATATTTGCAAGGCAATGGCCAAACAAAGGCATCTAACAGGATCGTGTTGGATTGCCTGAAGAGGAGACTGGAAGGCACCGAAGGAAAATGGGTCGATGAACTATTTGGAGTCCTGTGGGCTTATCACACCACCAAAAGAAGATCAACTAGCGAAATCCCATTTTCCCTCGCCTACGAAACTAAAGCAATCATTCCACCTGTTGAGGCCCAAAAAAGTCATGAGAAGCCCAAAGACATTTAAAGCCCAATATAACATATAATGTTGGTCATGCGTTAATCCAAGCTCATTTTCCGAATTAATTTATTCAATAAATATAGAAATAGTGTGCATGCCATGACAAGCCAGTAATACATTTTTCATATGTCAATCATCTACCAAGCTCAAATGAACCCAAGTCATGTGGTTTACAGGGCTTGCAAGAGGGATTGTGGTGTGGAAGGTTATGGAGGTCCACAAGGCCCACGGAAGCTCTTGGATCATGGAGACTTTGGGCTAACTACTTGGGAGCACCAAAGTGCAAGCCCATTACTTAGAGTTCTCCAATATGGATAAGCAAATGAGATAGTTTTTAAGCACTTCCTTTTATCCGTAGGAAATAGTCATTTTCCAAATGCCTAGCTTTACCCATTGGAAACAAGCCATTTCCAGTGCTTCCTTTTACCCATTGGATTTAATCAGTTTATGGTACCCAGCTTCACCTACTGGAAAATAGCATGCCCTAGTGCTCCCTTTTAACCATTGGAAATAGGCTAGTTCCAGCACCTCCCTTTACCTATTGGAAATAAAGGAAAACCCTCACCCTCTATAAATTGGGAGGCATTTGCTGGGCAAAATCAACCTCTCTTGGTTGCTGCAAGCTTCTTAGCAACCATGAGAACTCATCTTCCTTCCTCCTTTCAGCTGTTGCAAGCATTCCAGCGGCCATCCCAGCCATCAACCTTCATCCTTTGGCTGCTGCAAGCATCCCAGGAGTCATCGACCAACACCTCTCGGTTGCTCAAGCACCCCAACAACCATCAAACCACTTTCCTTCCTCCCTTCGGCTGCTGCAAGCATTCCAGCGGCCATCATAGTCATTCCTCAACCATCACAATCATGTTTCCTACTTTCTCACCCTTGAAATCCATCATCTTCTCTATAAAGCCTCACCAAGCATAACTCCAAGTTTTTCCTTCCTTCCAAGCTATAAACACCATAGCGTTCAAACCTCAAGCTTTTCCTCCCATTATTCTTCTCTTGAAACTCTTAAATCCATAAAGCCTCACCAAGCATAACTCCAAGCTTTCCCTTCCTTCCAAGTTATAAACACCATAGCGTTCAAACCTCAAGCTTTTCCTCCTATTATCCTTCTCTTGAAACTCTTAAATCCATAAAGCCTCACTAAGCATAACTCCAAGCTTTCCCTTCCTTCCAAGCTATAAACACCATAGCCACAAACAACAAATTGTCAACACCCAAACTCAAGCATATCCAACACCAAGCCAAGCACATGCATTCTCATTTGCTAAACTTATGGATCTTCAGCTCCCACACTCCAAGCCCTCATGCCAAGCTCATATAATCTCATATCAACATCAACAAGTCATCTTTAACTCTTCGTCAAGCTACCGGAAATGTCAGCACCAAACACGCAGCCGCTGGAAGAAGAACAGAGTACTCCCCTGGGACTTGCTTCTCCCTCGGGATGCTTTGGGCCTAGTCCTCGCAAACTCAAAAAAAAGGGCTACGAAGGCTTGATCCACCACTCTATAGCAGTTCAAGAATCAACAAGCTCGAACCAGCCTTCCGATGAAAAAAGACCCCAACGCCACCTTATATCACTATTCCATTCATGAGCATTGAGGTAGGCAACCTGGATCAACCTCAACCTGCTTGAAGAGGAAAGAGAAAAGGTTATTGTTTGAGTTGCAGCTTATCAACAGTAGTTGATGTCCTACTACAATAAAAGAGCCAAAGTGAGACAATTTCAACCTTAAGACCTTATACTTAGAAAAGCCTTCATTACAGCACAAAGGCAAGGATTAAATAAGATGAAACCTAGTCAGGAACGTCCCTACATGATTAGTCGAACTGGGGGTAGAGGAAGCTATATGCTAGATACCCCAGAAGACAAGGAAATTCCAAGATAGTGGTATGCCCATCACCTCCAAAGGTATTATCATGAAGCGCCCGCTCACCTGCTCGGACCACAAGCAGGTGACCAAACCCTCTCCACCACAGTTGAAGAATAAAGACATCCGATGTAATTTCATCTATTTATTTCCATTCAATAAAGTGATCTAATCACACCAACATCAAATAAAAGTTCAAGTTTTCATTCAACCAAGTGTTCGAGAGAATATCCAAAGCGTTCAAAGGGAGACGCAAGAAGACGTCCAAAACGTCCTAAGAGAGACGTAGGACATCTGCCAAAACGTCCTAAGGGAGACATAGGCAACTGCCAAAACATCCTAAGGGTGATGTAGGCAACCATCCAAAACATCATAAGGGAGATGTAGGACATCTGCCAAAACGTCCTAAGGGAGACAAAGGCAACCGTCCAAAACATCCTAAGGGAGACGTAGGACCTCTGCAAAAATGTCCTGCGGGAGATGTAGGCAACTGTCAAAGCCTCCTAAGGGAGACGCAGGCCATATTCAAAGCATCCTAAGGGAGAAGTAGAAGAGCACCCTTTAAGTAAGCAACGGGTAAACATTCAAGCATTCTGAGGGAGATGCACAACCAAGGCACCAGCAAGTCACTCAAGTAGTTCACAAGACTC